AGGGGCCGGGGCGCAGGCGGCCCCGGGACCCCCTCGTCCCGACTCCCCTGGCTGCCCGCGGCATCTCCTGCGTTTCGAGGGGACGCCGCCTCCCCCCGCGGCCGGTGCAGTCCCGTTCCTCCCACTCTGAGGCAGGTTTCGGCGTGGGGGGCTTGAGGCCTAGTGCCCGGTCCGGCTTCGACGGTCACCGAAAGCGCTGAGCCCGACGCGCTTGTTGCCGTCTCGCAGGGTTTTGTCCCGTGTCGTGGAAACTCGACGAAGCCCTCGCCGCTGCCTGTGGCAGCAAGTTGCCCCGTTTCGGCGCCTGTTCCCCGTCGCTCGCGCCGGGGTTTTGCCTTGCGAGACGGTGAGGACAGAAGCGACAAGGCTGTCGTCTCTGGGGTTCTCAGCGTTTCTGGTATGCTCGTATTGCGCTCCGGTGAATTCTTTGCTGAAGTTGAGGTTCACGTTATTTTCTTTCCCAGCTGTTTTCCCCACATGAGGTCTCTTCTTACTCAAAAACGTAGGGGTCTTTATCAAAAATCTTATCGGTGTGGGGCATGTGTCAGCATTGCCGCTGACTGCTTAACGCCCTGTTACGCTGGTACAAACCCAAACAATTTGGAGCCTGGAGGAGCTGGAAATGGTTAAAATGGTATTAAGGATTCACAAAGATGCTGAGAAGCAAAATGTGCTTTCTAGATATGCCGTTCTGTTGCTGTGTGTATTAAAAGTCAAACATTGAGAGTCTCATTGACTGGTTCGTGATCTCATGTTGCTTATGCGTGTACCTGATAAAGTGTGTGTGTTGATATCCCGATATGATAGCTTGGCTTTAAAATTTCTGGGTTTCTGTGCTGCAAGTCTAACATCTGTATGAAGAAGATTAAATAACTTTGTTTCCTGAAAGGAGTCTCACATGCAGGTGATTATCTTATAGACATTTCTGTTTTCATGGAGAAATCTATATATGTGAGATGTCAAAGTCTAAAACAGACGTTACAAATGTATTTTGATCAGTGTTTCTACTATATTTAAGATAGTAAGGTTCTTGGAATATGGGGTGTGTTTTGTACGTTGTGAGGTTTTATCAACTAATGAGTAATCTTAAGCTAGTTTCTATGCAGAAGCAGCATCAGAAGTGAACCACAGTCTGATTATGTGGTGATGGGGAGAGAAAAGTGTTCTCCCCCGACAAATCCCTTAACTTCATGTACCATCTGAGAGTCCAGTTGTTGCATGCAGCTTTATCTGTGTTCGCTCATGGCTTTGGGATGCCTCTTCTCTTCAGTTTTTCATTCCAGAAAAGGGAGTTTGCATTGGTTCAGATTCTGGAGCAGGGGTAATTGACTGTCTTCATTTGAGCACGGTATAGCCAAATTCTTTTGGCAGCTCAGCGGTGGTACAGACAGTTCTTGAACTTCTTGATGTCTTGTCGCAGAAGGGAAGTCCAAAATAGTTTTCTGAAATTCTCTAATTTTTCAAGTGAAGACTGTTAGCTCTCATGTTTGCGTGTGAGGATGGATTTTGGCAGTTGTCAGAGCAAAAGCAGCAAATACACAAAACAAGAAAAACACAATTGTTGAATTGCATTCACTTAGACTGTTTCCCAACAATATATGGCAAAATTGGAGGGTTGTTTGTGTGCTGTTAAGATGGGATGGGAAAGATCATCATCATCATCATCATCATCTTCCCTTGAATATTTGTAGCGTGGATCTCTGGGACTGTTCAGCCCATGAGTTGAACGTTGTTGATGCATTCCCAGGGCTTGCTTGCATATGTGGAGCCAGAGACCATCTTGAGTCTGCTTTCCATGACTATTATGTCTTGAAATGCCACGATACCATCATCTTAAGTTTTTTAGAGTTTGTGTCTCTCCTTCTGGCTGTGTGTATTTGTTCTTTTTTCCTTTCAGTCTCTGCTGCCTGATTTTTCTCCTTGCTGTTTGACTCCTATCACCTCTCCCGGTTGCCTCACCTGTTTTCCCAGGGCATTCCTCCCCCTGCCCACAATAATGATTTCACTGGGGTGGGAAATGCAGCTAACCACACATTCTAGCTATTTGAAGCCAAGATCACAGCAGTCGCATGTGAATTGGTTCCTAGTCCAGAGGCAATTTTTCTGCTTTGGAAACCCCACAAAAACACTGAACTGGAAGGGAACTCCTGATCATTGGATCTTGTCTCCTCATCAGCAGATAGCACTGGGAAAACCTGTCTCACTTCTCTACCTGTGATCTCTGCTAAACACCCCTTTTTTTGGGCAGGAACAGACTGAACATTTTGAAGCAGTTCCTAACTCTGGGGTTTTAACCCAGAGAGGAATTTTCGCTGTTACTCTAACGAACGAATCCTAACCCAGACTGGGATTCCTATGTCTTAACCACCCAGCAAGCAAAATATGTGGGGGTTTTGTTTGCTTCCTTGTGAAAAAGGCAAGTGATACTCATAGGCATATTTAGATATGCGCCATTTCGGTACAGATAGGCTAGTACATGGCTAGGGAATAGGGGAAGCGTTCACGTAGGATTTGGGGCACAGAGCTGGGACTTCCAGTTGTCTCATAACCCGTGCTGACACAGGCTGTGCTTGCTGGGCTAAAGCTAGCATGAGTACGCTTGCAGTTCTGTGGTTGCAATTCAGACACATCCTCAAAAGCAAAGAGCCTGTAGTTTTCTTCTTGGAGACTACTTGACAGTAATGTTTACTGGGGATTGTCGTGGTTGAGTTTGGCTCCTGCCGCTTAGACGGCTGTTTGTCAGATGCAAATGATGTTGGTGGATGTTGCCTGAGCACAGGTGCAAAGCCAATTTGAGGTTTTGGGGTTTGTTAGGAAGGATAAAGACAGAAGCGTGTACAGCACCGTGGCGTACAGCTAATCAATCCCTGGATTGCCTGGGCGTAGGAAGCCTTGAGCACTGGCTGACCAGGTAAATTGATGTTATTACACAGCAGTTTCAGGGCCAGTTTTGAAGTGCAAATTGAAATCCCATTTTTGTGAAATCATTGCTATTAGTTAATTGACGTCTGTTACCAGCAAGAGCAGTTTAGAGGACTGACTAACCTATCAAAGATGGATTTGAAAGGACATTTTGTAGCTTCTGCCTTAACTTGCTGGACATTCCCTACAAGACTGTAGCAATTTTGAAGCAAGTTCCAATATTTTTTTTTTTTTTAATTTAGCATTTGCTGAGGAAGTTTACGATATCCACTCTTTCATATGAGAAGTGCATAGGTATGCTGTGCTCCCTCTGCTGGCATCTGCCCCTGTTAACTCGTGGTGAGTGGACATCGGTTTCTCAGGGCTATGTTGACGTAACCAATAATGCTACAAAGTGACCCGTCCCTCATTGATAAAATCAAGAGAAATACAGAAAATTGAGACTCATAAATCAAGCAAATCAATCTTTTATGTTTGTCAGCGGGGGGAGGGAATCCTAAAGCTCCAAACCAACAAATAATCTGTAGCTGCTAATGGATGTAAAGGATTTTTTTTGAAGGCGTGTGTTTTAATGAGTCTCAGAATTTCTGCCCTTACAGTCAGTTTCTTAAATGGTTGGGATCTCGTTGCCTGGAGTTGGGTGTGTGTGTGTTTTCTCTACCTATCCCCTGTCCTCCCCCTTGCCCCTGAGTTTTGGTGCATTAAGAAAGTGTGTCACGTTTCTAATGCAAATGGCTGCCTGAGAGTAGTATCAGAACATGGGATTAACCCATGAATGTACGAAACCCTCTCAAGTTTCTTCTAATACAAAATGCTAATAACATTTCCCACTGTGGAAGTAACATTTTTATTTCCTTTTTAATGTACAGTTTCCAACTGGTTAGCCTTTTGTCTGTCTTGTTTCATAAAATGCTTTCTTTTATGATTCAAAATACTTGCAGGTATCTTCTTATCTGACTTTCTTCTTAGGGATAGTGGCAGTGCAGTTTCCTGCAGTTTGTTTCCATTCCTGTTGCGTTTTGGTATGAGTGCTTCTGTGCTAAAGTGTATATTCTGACATCTGACTCTGTAGGATGAGCTTTCTTACTGTTTTCTGCTAGCCCTTCTGTGTAACATGGAAGGATTGTGGACCTGCGTAATCATCTTAAATCTATGCCGGTATATTGGTCATCTATGAATTCATTTGAAAGTGATTTATATTTATTTGAAAGCTAGAATGCCATGGAGCAGGAAATAAATTGTTCTATACATGTGTTGTCTTCCTTAGGGGACGCTTCTTGACAGGTTGAGTACTTTCTAACTCCAGTCAAATAGATGATGAATTCAGGTTTGGCAACTTGGTGTGGAAATTGGGTCCTCTGCTTGTTTAAAGGCAGTACAATTGAAACCATCAATGCCCTCTGTTACGTTGTCCCATTAACACGTCTCAATTTTCAATGTGAAGATAAGCTTTTCTTTTCCCCATCCCACCTTGTGGGTCCAGATTTGAATGTGATGTCACTGAATGTGGGAAAGACTTCTCTTTCTTTTCCGCCCTTGATTAAATGCCTCCGCATCATATGTAATGCAGGAGTGCATCGGGATGAAATTTGTACACGTCTTTTAGTGTTTCTATTATGGGCACGAGGAAGTAATTATACTGCAGGTCTGCTCTGTGTAGGCACTTGGTGGGAAGTGATGTGTTCTGGATTGTGTTGGTGTTGAGTGGAGTATATGCTGTGGAGTACTGCTGACATGCAGATGACGCCTGGAAGAGGTTGGCATGAAAACGTTGGAGCTTGTGACGAGAAGAGCTGCCAAACAAGTGGGGAGCCTTGGAGTTGAGAGCAGAGCCTAAATATATAGAGCAATGGTGTGAGCCTCTTTCTAAGGGGTCTATAAAGTCTAAGCAAAGCAGTCCTGAATTCACTATTGGGAGCCTTTCTGTCTGCAGGGAAACTTGTAAGGGTCTGCAAATAAAATAGGCTGGAAACCTTTGATATAAGTCAAGTAGTAACATCAAAGCCATGATGTGTAACCAGCAGGTGGGCAGAAGGCAGGACAGTATGATCCTGTCTTCCTCATTTAGAGGTAGTTTGCTGGCCGGAGATAACACGCGATACAGGAGCCCATTGGCTCCCAGAAGTGCATTGTACATCTAATAATATATGTCAGTGAATAGGTTAACATCATTCTCAGATTATTAATAAAGATAGCAGTCCCGTAGCAAATGGGAAGAAGAAAAAACAACCCATGCATTGTTCAAGTAAGATACTTCTTTCCTTAGGCATCTCTCCTGGGAAGACCTTGGTACTTGTAAATGAATCTGCCGCCTACCTTGTGTACCTTCATTTTAATGTGGGGATTGAGGAGGAGCCAGCTATAGGAAAACCAGCCAGAGATGGATGCGTTGGAAAGTTGCCACTAATTACTGTGGCGTCTGACAATTAGCTGTTGTTAAGCCTTTCCTTGCAAGTTCTCAACCGTGCATCAGGAAGCAAAAACAAGGACCTGGAGAAAGGCAAGAGCTGTCCTTGTGATGATCTTGTAAAAAAAAAAAAAGTTCTGGGTGGTTGTTACTTTGCTGATCTTCCTAAAAGCAGAACATAGAGTTGATTCTGACGCGGTTCCTTTCTAGCGGAGCAGGTAGGATTTGGTGCACCCAGAAGCTCTATGTTCTTTCACTGTTGGGCTCTGTCATAGTCTGCAAACTTCTTGCGCCTCTTACCTATAAAACAGGTTTGAGGCTACCTTACTTCACGGGAAAGCTGTAAATCGGTAATGTCTGCAAAGTGCTATTGCTGATATTAATCTTAGAATTCTTAACGAAAATTAAGATTTAATGAAAATAATAATAAAAAGACTCAAAGAAGTCTTGTAGTTGGTTTCTCACATTTGCCTCCAGGGTCTTCTGACTTTGTTTTTACTTTGTGGCAGTGATGAATAGCACCAAGCCTTTTGCAAGTGTCTCAAGGGTGTCGTTAGTTAGGAGTACGATTGAGCTGGAGCTGCCAGGTATCGCAAGGCTTTTGTACAGAAGCTAATTTCCCCCCCACCTCTCGGGAATCAGACCTGCTCTTTCTCTGGAAATGACTTTTACATTGCCAGGACAGTGATGATTTTGATTAGAAAGGCCAAGCAATGCAGTTGTTCCTTCCTTGTCAAAGGAGCTGTCGGGGAACAAGATGTTTTTGCATCGGTTGAATGTCTATCTTGCTGAGCTTGTGTTTGAGATGACATTACTCAGGCAGCAAGGCCCAGAGCATCTTCTGGAGTAGTTTACACAAGTACGACCCAGGCTTTGCACCGACTTGCGTCTCTGTATAATTCCATTGACTTGGAAGGAGCGACATGTAATCTCTAGACAGATCTTGAGTCTGTTTTAATATGCATCTCTGATCTCTAATGCGTGCGCAGACACAGCGATCCTTTTGGTTACCACTGAAAGCAGCTGTATCTGGGACAGAAAGTGGCAGCTGTTTGACAAATGTAATACAGTAGGTATTATAAAAAGAACCAAAGTGAATTTCCTCTTCTTAAAACTGATTAAAGCAAAAGCAGCATTGCCAATGTTTCTTGTGAGCTTAATGCTGCTTTGCAGGGGTGTCTTGCTTGGACGCTTTGCTGTCCCTGTACCTATTCTTAGCCTGTTTACCAAAAGCTGTTGTGGGAGCGCTGTGTTAACTCATACCATGTACAGACTATTTGTATGTTTATGTGGAGCCTTTTGGGGAGGGGGGGGATTATAGAATCATAGAATTCTATGATTCTATGATTCTATACCTGAGCTCTTCTGTCACCTTCCCCTGCTTTTGTGCTTTACAAATCTGTAGGAAATAGAGGTTATTGTTTCCATAGTATCTGAGTGTATCGCAGTGCTTCTGTGGTATAGTACTGCCCAGTCCTTGTTGACACTGACCTTTGGATGTGGGATTCGTGTCACGGTTGAACTGATTCCATAGCTTGCTGCTGAAAGGGGTGGCCTTGGTCCCTTTCCCTCTCTCAGCTCTGCAGTCCTTGTCATTTATATGATGCCTCAGCGAGGTGATTCAGTTTGATAATCCAACAGCAAACTGCCTGTGGGTTTTTTGGGGGGAGGTGGGGGGTTCCCTTAGCAGTAGGATGGGGGGTGAAGTTGCTAGACGCCCCTTCTCTCCTTTTCTTACTGTTAGTTCACTGTATTAATGTTCCTGCATTGGGATATTCCTGTCTTGAGTCCAGCCTGGCTCTCCCAAGACATGAGATATGAGCATTGGCAGTGCCTGAGGAGGAGACCTGCTCACTTGGCAGGGGGCAGGGAGTATGTCTGTGTATTGATATTTTTACCCAGCTCTGGTACTCTGAATTTTGCTGCCCCAAGGCTACGAGGGGTAGATGCTTGGTACGAGCTGACCTGTTTCTGTTACTCAAAAGGCAAAGCGAGAGGCAGAGCAGCGAGAAGCTGGACTTGCTGTTTCTTTGCTGCTGGAGGGGATGGTGGGGACGGGCACCTGCTACTTAGGGAGGGCAATGCCTGTGTGTGCTTGGCCCCTTCCCCTGGCAGCGATAGGAGTGGCTGAGCATTGCAAGGTTTGGGCAGATGTAGAATAGGTAGCGGGGCAGTGACGCAGCTGCTGTGCTGTGTCAGAGGTTTGCTACAGCGCTCTTTTACCTTTATTGCAAATCTGGAGTCTGCTCGGGACCAACGAGGGTAATTTAATGAAGCTGGGGGACTTGTTATAAACGAACGCGCTGAATGGACAAGAACGGTTCGCTGTTGTATGTGACTGTGAAGGTCAGTAGAATAGGATGCTCATTTTTCAGTTCCTGCATGCTGCTGGGTGAAACCGAGGTTTGTGCTGACACAGGCAGTTCCTGTTAATGGGGACTGGAGTTGCACTGAAAGAAGAAAATGCCCCGTTTTGAAGGCTGCTTGGCAGTGGGACAACTGGAAAGACATGTGGTATTGGTACAAATCTTTTCAGACTTTGGCGCTTCTTTTTAATTGCCTGACTTTTTATTCTGAGGCCTTCTTACTATGACTTCTGCTCTTCTGTTACGAGAAGTGAAATTAATAATCTCCCTTATTTCCCATACATGGAAAGGAATGTCTTCATTCTGGCCCAAGTTTAACTGCAGATGAGATCTGTTTTGGGAACTGCGTTATGCAAAAGCAGAGGGAGAGGAAGAGGAAGCAAACAGTTGTGTAGCCTACTTGCTTTGAAATGCAGTTTTAATGGTTCCCTGGTATTCATATAATTATTTAACTGGCTATGCGATCCTTGGGATTATTACTCTTTCCAAGTAATAACTAGAGCAGTAAAGATGTCTTATTAAACTGAAAAAAAGAATTGGCGTATGTTGTTTTCAGTATTGCATTT